ATTATAATAATATTACTATAGTGGTATGTCTACAGGCACATTCGTTGCGAGCACTCACTGGTTGTATATAGTACGTTAATTGTATACGCCTTTAACAATGACTTCTAGGACGCTGCGTTGAGCATGAATCGAAAACACATCGTATAATATAAATATACTTAATTGTTCGTAGCTGCTTCATGGCGTGTGTACAGTGTTTGCGCCGGAAATGTAGAAAGATAAGAAGAGTTGAGGGAAAAAATAAAGTGAAATGAAATTTTTAAAAAATATTATGATTTACTTCATCGGCGTTTTCCAAATTTTTTCAGCCACGGAGTTTTTTTTAAGTAAAATTTTTTCGTTAATCTCAAGAAATATTTAATTTTAATTTTTATTTGCCTGTGTTCTATGAAAAATATTACACATGGTATGTATTTATATAGGAGGAAACTAAATGAGACAGTGCACATTTAATATTATATTTATAAACAATACGAAGTGTGTTCAATAAATACCCAGACAAAATTTATTAAAAATTATATTTCAAACTTACTAATTATTTAAATTAATCACCTTCAAAATAATGTCCTTTAGTTTCATTACAATGTCACTTTTACTGGTCTTGCCACTTTTGAAGTAAATAAAAATTATCCATCTTATAAAAAAAACATTTAAAAACCATAATTAAGAATTTGGTAACAAAAAAACGATTTGTTAACTTTAATTTTTCCTTCTTCTCGGGAAGTCACGAGAGAAAATAATGGTTTCATAAGGAGAAATTGTTCAGAATTTAAAAATTCTTATCGCTTTAAATTATTATATTTCACTCTTCTCCGATTCATACTGGAATATAGATAGGTTATTTGGAATCCTTAACAAACTTGATCAGTTAATAAAATTAAACGCATTCAAAATCCATTTTTAAGAGTTTGAGTTTATTTTAAGAGTATTTAAGTTTCACTAAAATAAATAGCGATAGTAGCATTGAGTAACTCAGAAAAAGAAAAAATTGCACAATGTGACTTGGTTATATAAATTACTTTATTCTTTAATTATTTGTCATGAATTACTAAGGAAAATTCCTTAGTAAACGTCTCTTAAACTAATACTCGTATGTTAAAAACGTTCTATATACTTACTTATTGTCAAAATTATCGTATTCTTATTCCAATCAAAAGAATATTAATTTCAGAAAATTCTATGAATAACTTTTATTTTTTCCATGAATACTTAACCACGTTAAAATTACTGATTTAATTGTTATGGTTTCTTTAAATACTTTAGAATTATATAATTATTATAATTATATGCACATGTTACATATTTGATGAAAAAATAATCCGAATTGTCTTTAAACTTGTTTTGTAACCATAACTGTATTTTACTGTATTGTATGCACATTGGACATTAATTACCAATAAATAGAAAATAAAAATAAAAATTCTAAATATATTTTATTCCATGCACGTTTATGGTTTATCTAAATAAAATCCTAAATCCGTTTTTTTGTGAGTTTTCAACTTTGATCTGTGACATTTGTAATTGTTATATATGCTCCAGTGTTTGACTTTTAATAATTTGATTTTAAATTGCAAGAACAATTCTTTGAAGTTTTTTTATGTTGTATAAAAGTTTACCATATTTTTAAACTAGGAAAAATTTGAATAAATAATATATGCACAGTTTGAATAGTTGGGAATTTTTTTTACTTACTGAAAATATTTGGAGATAAAATGTTTTAAAATTTGAGATCAGAGAAGCCTTTTAAATATATTTTAATACGTTTCAGCATATTGCTTATAATTATTATTTATTTATATTTATTATACATAGAAAAATTGTTAAACTCATTTAAATACGTCACCAATTATAACTACGTGCATATACGAATTTACATTAGTATTTAACGTTACACTTCAGATAGTTTATTTTATTTTAAATCATTTAACGTTGATCGAATCGTACGAGTATATAATTTATATTAATAAAACAGATATTGTGCGTATCGAGTGTAGGTGTTAATGAAAATTGCATGAAATAGGTTTGGCAAACGACCAATGAGCTATACATCACGTTACATACTATAGACTATTGCAGTGGTCTGATAAAGATAACCACTGTAAATATATATTCGCAATTATTTTATTTTGTACAAAATGCGTTCCGGAAACGGGGTACAAATGAAAAGCGGAAACAGCTTAATCGTGTTGCGAATATACACACCCCTTTTTGGGTGAACAGTTTTATTCGGATTTGTAGAATAAAAATAAACTAAGTACCAAATAAATTACGTGATTACAAGGGTGTGTGTATTTATGTATATGTGTATATGCGTGTGCTTGTATTTATATGCATTTGACTGTTTGTAGAATGTAGATGTAATTAATTTTGAATGCAAAATACAAACCTTCTGTCTGTGACTTATGCTAGTGTGACGTGTGAAATGGTGATATATTCGTCTGCTTTGATCAAGCAAACTGACGGAAAATGCAGTTTGAAGGAATCATGACTAAACTATATTGTTGTTAGTTGTGAAAGTTTGGTGGAAAGACACATCAAGGAATTTGATCAGCTTAACATTTATACAGTATACTAAAGAATATTTAATAATTAAATGTTCTTTAACTCTTTACCGATTAGTTATTTTTAATATAAAAATTGACTATTAATACTAAAGCTAGTTTTATTACCAGAAATGTTTTTAAGTAGGAATTGATTTTTTTTTATACTATATCTATATATTTGTTAACGAATATTAAATATATATTACTGGTCATGTTTTAATAGATTAATTATTTTATTGAATATAAATGAATAAATGCATTGTACTTAGTATATGTGTATATAATGTTGCCGTATAGTTATTATTACAAAAATTAATCCTGCAAAAAGAATAGAAAAATGTATTAAATGATGAATTTATTTAACTAATTTAATATACAATTAGTAAATATTTTATTCAAATGATGGCCCTCTCATATGCATGATGTAAAATCTGTTTTTGGTGCACATAAAAATACAGCAGCTGTACGGTAGCGTATTGGTATTATCTGTAATGATTGTCGAAACGAATATGTATAATATATTATTAATAATTGCATTAAAAGGAGTAGACAATAATTCAAAACTGGAAATGCATATATATCGACTAACTGAATTTAAAGGAATTACGCGTGAAACATAAAATAAAACAAGAACTTAATCATGCATTGATAAATAGAGATGAGGATAGAAAATACTAGTAACATTGTCCAGCAGTGAATTATTACATGAAAATGTCGACGTAACGAGAAACTGATGGAGATTATTTGGTTTTATTTTCGAGTTTGGATTGATTTAATACAAACAATTCTACAGGGAAGATACGATAATATTTAAAGGCTTAAAATAAGCTGATATATGACAAGATTGAAAATCTTAAACTATTAAAATATTATTATGTTTTAAATGAAAATAAACTATGGATTTGTAATTTATCATATTGTTTAGCGGATTTATGAAGAGGTAGGATGTAATTTATCCATAAATAAAATATTGAGTAATGAGAAGTATAAACTTGCAAAATCGTGAATTAGATTGAGGAACTATCAGAAAGATTAGAAGAGAGTTTTCTTCATATTTATATAGAATATTTATTAAGTTTTTAATATCGTTTTATTTAATGAAAATGTATACTTGAAAAAATATAAATAAGAATAATCCGCTCTCTGAAAAATGCTAAGCATGAAAATGGGTTTCTGAAGATTTTATATCAGCACTTATAGTGTCATATTTCCTTCCGGTAGTATTTTTTGTTAAATTAGTTTTCAGAAACTTTTTCTTACTATTATATGTCAGTTTTTTTTTTAATATTTTAATTTTAACGTGTCGTATAAAAATAATTGTTTTGAATTTCTAATAAATTAAGTGTTTTTAAATATTTTATTATTTTAAAGTAGATATAAGAATAATGAATATAGAATAGTATTGAACTTATATGTATTATATCGTATTGAAATAAAGATAAAAATATTGGTATATGTTCTGAGATGGTTTTAAAGCAAAACAATCATTAAAGAAGAGCACATTACGCACAATATTTACAAATAATAATCTACTTATAAATTACTATTTTACATATTTTATAATATCATAGTAAATCACAGTATATAATACATCAAAGTATATAATTGAAGTGCCATATTCTATTCTCGGCCAAGTGATTATATTGATTACATAATTATACTTATCTATTATTAATATTTTACTTTGAATACTATGATTTAAATATATAATAAAGCAAGGTACTGTTTTAGTTATTGTTTATAAATTTAGAGAATGTTTCTACTTAATTGTAACCTAGTATACCAGGTGCATTAAATATAGATTTTGCCTATAAAATATTATAAAAATGTTGTTGTTTGGATAACATGAAGATTTTTTGATAACTAATTATGAAGTTTTGTGTTCATAGATACAATAAGTGACGGATTTATAGAAAGGATTACGCAGCGATTCTCCATTAGGCTTTTAAATTTCTCAAATTACGGTTCAGTCTTTATTGTACTATATATATATATATATATATATATATATATATATATATATCACATAAGTATTCCTATTCCCTACTTCCCCCCTTAAATGAGCTTCAGATTCGCTTCTGGACTCAATATTTACTTAATATATACAGCAATGAAAAGTTTTATATTCTAAACTATAACGATATTACAAAGTGTATTCTATGTACTTCAAAATAGGTAACAAAATATTTCAATAAATTAAAATTGGGAGTTGGTTAAAAGTGTTTAATTTCTGATAAGTTTTATACAAATATAATGGTTAATTATTAATTTAACAAACTATTATGTATAATTATGAGGGGTACAATTTTTTAATGGTAATTTTAGATTGCTGAATTCACGAACATTGCAAATGTCTACGTCACGTAGGATTTAGTTGTAGATGATTAATTAAATTCTTTAAGATTAAAAATACATTTCGAAGACTTAATTAAAATAATACGTAATTCGTGATTTCAGAGCAAAGGAAATCCGGCCGTAATGAAAACGTTGCACAAGCCAAAGGTAAGCCATGATTATTATGTTAAATCATAAAAATTCATGAACCAAAAGATGCGAGTAGTAATTAATATTTTATACGTGTTATTACAAACTATTTTTTTTCATATTTTTTTAAAATCATTAATAAACATTCAACTCTAGTTATTATATTAACAATACAATGATAATCTGCAGATAATCAGTATTAATCGAAAATTGTATTACTTTTGTACTTCTATTTTTACTATTAAGCATGCATTGACTGTACGCATGCAATTATGTGAGGTTTTCCAATTTTTAAATTTTTTTATTTGATGTGTAATAATATAAATAATAAAGCATATTTGAGTAGTACTCTTGAAACGTTTGTCGATTATTTTTTTCGCGGTGCCTACGTCTGCAATATTATATAATGTTTGATGGCTCGATGATAACGTCAAGAGCGCACACAGGTGGCAGACTATCCAGTAAATCAACAGGAAGTATTTATTACAGTATAAAATGTACAATATTTTTATAATGTTGCGACCACATGCCGCCGAACGTTTGATGATATCGTATTGACCTCAAGTATGATAATAGTTTGAATGAATGGGTACGTGCGTGTGTGTTCGTATTGGTGCAGGGTGCTAGTATGCGCGCGTGTGGATATATATTTAGTAAGTTATTCACGGCTATAAATTGTGTATCAAATACGAATTATCGCATCTGCAGAGTGAACGAATTGAATGGAATTTGTTAGCTCGGGACAAAAGTTTTACCGTATCGTAAATAATAATCGAATGCATGGATTTCTGATGGAGACGTTATACTGCGAGGAAAGGGTGTGGAAAAAAGCTCGAGACAAAAGACAAAGTAGTTTCTACGCTTACTGAGGGAAGTCAAAAATCCATACTTATCAAATGCATTAGTGTAAAACAATATGAAATTGTAGATTTTTAAAAGTTGATTGTTTATTTCAAACTTAAATATTTAATGACGATCTACTGTGTTGAAATAAATTGAAAATGTTTATTTTTTTACGAAATTGGAAACATGGTTTGCGGTTCTACTAAAACTAAAACATTAGTAAAACATAAATGTATTTCATCCGTAAGCAACAACCTATTATGAACTTAATTCTGTCATCAAACAGTTTTAGTAATTAGTTTTTAGTGCCAAATGCGATGTTACTAACTTAACTTATATATATAGCCAGTGTTTCCCTACCATATTGCTAAGGCTGCCAGTAAATGTCCTTTGGGATAGATGACCCTCAAAAAAAAAAAAAAAAAAAACTAGTACACTTTAATAACATAACCATATACTTTAACATCATACTGTGAAACTGAATTCTTATATATATATATAAAATTATATTTTGATAACTAAGATATTTTTCTTGTCATTAGTTTACGAACAGCGACCCGATGTTGGGAACCGCTGCTCTAAGCTATATATCGATGGTTGACGAAAGCAATAACCGTAATTGAAAATACGATATTCGATTTATATCTGATTGATAACAGGATGCTGTGTGGTCATAATTCTGCATTAAAATTTTTATAACGTGAATAAATTGTAAGTTGATTATATCATAATATTGAGGTGATTATAGTTTAGATAACAATTATTATAATCACCTGGAAATCTAATAAAAAAATTATAACAAAAATTGACAAAAGGTATTTATGCAAAATAATTCATTGAATATATTTCAAGGTATTGTAAAATTTAACGTGGTGTGAAGTTTATTTTGCTTACACCGATATGTTGATTCTGCTACATTGTAAATAATTAATTGTTAGAGTTATAATTTATTTGATTTTTTTTTTATATTAATGAATAAAATTACCTTGATAAATCGTAAAAAAGCTGAAGTATTCATGAATAAAAGTTTTCTCGTAAGTATGAAATATTACAACTAATTACTATTCGTAAGTATATACTCGTACATATATGTATTTAACAATTTTTGAAGGAACGAAAATATGTAGAGTAGAAATAAAATAATTAGAATAATTTCTGTGTACCTTTTGGTTTATTTATCGTAGTTAGTATAATATAACAATGATACAAATTATGTGTTTTATATATATATATATATATATATATATATATATATATATATATAT